CACATTCAGGTTAAAGGACGTGTCTGCAGTGGAGTCTGACGATCTGACGTCAAAGTGACTGCTCCTCTGGGGCTTCTTCACCGTCAGACTTTGTAAAGTTTGTGAGTCCCAAAGGGCCATTCCTAAAACAAACAAACACTGGTCATTTACAGCACATTCTCTGCACACAGCTGACTGTACACATTTATACTTGTATACTAGTGTACTAGTACTTCTTCTTCATCATTCTCTTGATGAAGTAAAAACACCAGCAGGTTATAATTGACTCTGGTCCTGAAATTGTACTAAGGGAGTGTCACTCAAAGCTCAGTGAGGTTATACAGACACAATATAATATAATAACAAAGAGCAAAAAATATAAATGGTAATAATAAATAAAAAATTACAGTCGCCTGCTGTGATGATGGCCCTCGCCCCGGCGCACACTTCCCTCCCACGGAACTGCCGGGGACTTGCGACCGCCATTCAGACTATGATCAGACATTAGTGATTCAAATTTCAGCACCATCAGATTAAACATGGGCATATATTTATTTTTTTTACTATTTTATGGGTGAGTCCTTGCACTCCTGCTGGCAAACAGTGAAAAATGTCCCATGTCCATAATAGACTTTTTTGCTTGTAATCGTGCGTAGAGTTTAATTCCCGATTTTGGTCCAAATCTGATATTGTTGACGTTTCGTGTCTATGCTAGGGGGCGCTATAGTGTTCACTTTTCATATGTTTTATAGTGTATTATATTCAGGCTAAAATCTTGCATTAGTGATTCAAATTTCAGCACTATCGGACTAAGCATGTCCCTGTAATAATAAAAAAAAATATTTTTGGGTGATTCTTTGCACCACTGCTGGCCAACCGTGAATAATGCATCATGTACGTAATAGACTTTTTTTCTTGTAATCATGCATAGACGTTTCATGTCTATGCTAGGGGGCGCTATAGAGTTCACTTTTATTAAATTTCATATTTCATTACATTCAGGCCGGGATCACGCAATTGTGATTTGAATTTGAGCTCTGTAGGCCAAGAAACAGGAAATGAAGGCGTTTTTTGCCGGCGTGCTACAGGCAAACCGTAAGGAGTATCAAAAATCCTTCTGATGACTTTTGTCAGTTTATGTCTGTGGATGTGACATGTCAAATCTGAGCTCATTTGGACTAAACCCCAGGGACATGAATCTTTTTGCAGACACCCAAGTCAAAACGGCGGTGAATGTTTGATCCAATATGGCCGACTTCCTGTTCGTCATAGGGTCATGCTCCAATTCACCTTTTGTCTTGTCTCATTGTTCTCTATCACTGTTTCCCTATGACAAAGTTTGCCTGTCCCCACTCCCATAGGGGTCCAATTCTAGGTGGCGCTGTTGAGTTGGATCACTTCGGTCATTGTCACGATGCCCATTTTATCAAATTTTTTGCCGGGCCGATTGATCTGATACCTGGGTGTGGGACTTTTAGTCGATGTTCAGGGGGTCAAAAATCGCGATCATTTGGTCGGAAAAAAAATAATAATAAAAAGAAACCGACGAAGGACAATAGCCCTCGTCAGTTACTTCGTTAATGGCTCGGGCCAATAAGTAGCAATAAAGAGCAAGAGACAAGTGTCACCTTTATACAAGAGGTCATAGGCAGTGCAACAATGATAAGATGATTGACAGGAGATAGTGTTATCTGTAACATGAGGGTGAAAACGCCCCGTCTGCTTCGCTGAGCGACTGTCAACAGACGCTGTAAACAAATGGACTGGGGGAGTGTGACGTCACTGAACACCCAGCTCCAGTCAAATGAAGCTCACGACAGGAGCAAATCTGGAGCCAGGTTCTATTTTAGGAATTGGAATTTATTAACAGACAAAATGGAAAAATATAAACACTGGGATCATGTAGACTGGGTTAATACAAACATTTTAACAACATGTCGAGGCTCACAGCAGCAGTTATAGAGAGAGGAGCCACAATATTCCAAAGTCAATGGGAACCAGAGTCAGAAGGAGCCGGAAGTTCCTGCACAAACTCTTATTTTGTTTTTATTATTATTTTATTCAATGTATAACTCATTACAGTTACATCACCAGATTCATGGCCCTTAAAGAAGATAAAGCTCGCTGTGCTCCTGCTACCATCATCTCAAATTAGAAACACATTACATTGTCTTTTTTCTGTCACCATTTTTTGATTCTCTGTTCAATTATTCATTTGATCATTTGGTTCAAAGATGCATCTGCAGCTTCTGTTGAGAAAAATGCAAAGTGCTTCATAAAGTGTAACAGAAACAGTAACTGACCTGGGATGAGTTGGTCCTTTGGGGCATTATACAACATGCCCAGAGTGAACGGTCGGCCCAGACCTCCAACAATCATCTGATTGTTTTTAGCCTTTTTCTCCAACTGTGGAAAAACACAACCAAGACATGAGACATGTTTGACAAATAAAAGCTGGACAAAATGGAGAAAAAAACACTGAATTTTCAATGTATGAAACAAATAAGTGTAGCTTTTATCAGTGTGGCGGCAGTAGCTCAGTTGGTGGAGCATTCGCCCACTGATCTGAAGGTTGGTGGTTTGATTCCAGCTCTCGACATAAACATCACAGGTTGAGTGGTCAGATCCACTGACCCACAGGTTGCTGGTGTGATTCCAGCTCAGATGAATGCTGTCATTGTGTCCTTGGGCAAGACACTTAACCCACCTTGCCCACAGTGTCTGTGTGCACGTGTGTGTGAATGTGTGTGTGAATGGGTGAGTGTTTCCTTGTTGTAAAGTGCTTTAAGTGCCTTGAAGGTGGAAAAGCGCTATAGACAAATGTGACCATTTATCAGTATGATTTATGAACACAGACAAGAAAGGCCTTTTTAAAATGAAGTCCACAATTTAACACAGGCAAACACAAACTTTTTTTTTTTTTTTTGAGACCTTTAGAATTTACTAAAATGGTGAATATTCATTTTGTTGCATTAAAATAGTTGTGTCTGAGGTTTAAATGAAGCCTCGTTCCGGTACGAAAAAGCAAATGGTACTTTTTACAGACCTAAACTTGAAAACCCAAACACAATATAAGGTTACACAATCTTTGCAAGAAATGGAGCTGCTCAGTGCTCACCTGGAACATTGTCGTCCTCTGAAGTCTTCTGGGGTACTCTGAAGGGCAGGCGCTCTGAAGGGCAGGTGCTCTGAAGGGCAGGTGCTCTGAAGGGCAGGTGCTCTGAACGGTCTGAAGGGCAGGTGCTCTGAAGGGCAGGTGCTCTGAACGGCAGGTGCTCTGAAAGGTGCTCTGAGCAGGTGCTCTGAACGGCAGGTGATCTGAAGACGCTCTGAGGAAGCAGACAGGCTGCTGTCTTTTATAGGGGCGTTGGTTGTTGGAGGAAGTACAAATCATGACTTTATAAGGACATTTTCTTTGACTCAGACAAACTTCGTTGATTGAAAAGGAGAATTATTTGGACACAGTAGTTCACAGCATTTTATATAAACAAAGAGAAACATATAAATGATCAAATAAATTATAAATAAGTAGCAGAAATGGCAAGAGACTGATGTGAAATAAGGCAGAAGTATATAAATGTATATGTACAAGTCAAATAAAAAAATATAGAAATATAGTCATTAAAATATATCTCAGTTATACAGAAGAGGTCAAAAGGAAAATGGTGCAAAGATGATATGATGATTGGCAGGACACAGGTGTTATATAAGGAAGAGTTGTTGCACATTTGTACGGTGTATAATCTACAGATTATTTAAACATTTCCACAGAAATCAGTGAGTCACGTCAGACACTGTTTCAGGGTCTGAGCGACCAACAAAAACGGGAAGCAGCACAATGACACACCCTGGTGTTTAAAACATATATATCATCATAATATATCATCATAATATATACTCATAATATCATCATAAAGAATCACCCATCAGCAGCAGCAGTTCCTCATCCTTGATAAACTTAGATCAGTTCTAATTACACTTTTATACTTTTTTCAGTTTTGAAACATTTCTTTACTGAAAATTGACATTGGTGAAAAAGCTCGCACAAAATCCTAAACAAAATTTAACTGCAAAATGTACTTTTTCATTCAAACTGATCATCACTCAAAGTTGTACAGTGGAAAGTGTCAGAGTGCTCGTGTGTTTTGTGAGCAGCTCAGAGTCTCAGTCCTGATCTCAGGGACCTGCAGAGTCTGGGGTTAGTGTCTGACTCTGGATTTTTTATGTCTGTAAAATAAATAATAGGAGATTTTTCAGTGTGTGATAAAAAAATATGCTGAAAGTGATGGAATAAGAAAAACATGAACATACGTTTGTCATGCATGAGCTTTACACAAGACATTTACATCTCACTACATCTACACTGTACGTAGGATGCATTTATATTTGAGTTTCTATATTAAAAAAACAAAAAAGGAAATAGGAAGTTGCAGTTATATCTTATCACTTTTGTACACTTCTTTATTGAGAATTGACATTTGCAAAATAGCTCACACATAAATCATACCAAATATGTTTGGGTAAACATGTCTGTAGAGCCAGTTTAATAATTATGTAACTGTCACATCTTAAAGGATATCTTTTTAACAATTACAATTGTATTTTTCTCAGAAAATCCAGCTGTCACACTGCAATACATCACACTTGTGCAAGTGAAGTTTTTCAGAAAAAAAAATGTGATCTTTACAAAAATAAGAATATAACAATTATTAATTTTGACTTGTGGCTTAAACCCTTAAAGATGCACTGTGTAACTTTTCTGGTGGACAGTCCACCACCTGCTTGTCTTCATGGAAGTTTCACAAGTTTGAAAACCTGATTTACCATCAAAACACAGTTTGGTGACATGTTTTACTGAACATTATGTCTCTGAGAAATTAAGAATAAATGACTCTGAAGAAACAGGACACAAGTCTAAACTGTCAAACCCACACACACTTTGGACAGTCCCGCCTCCGCTGACTCCACTCCCTGTACCAGCTCCTGTTCCTCATACAACAGAGCAGACGAGCTTCTACTGCAGCTTCTACTGCAGCTTCTACTGCAGCTTCTACTGCAGCTTCTACTGCAGCTTCTACTGCAGCTTCAGCCACTAAAACTAAAGACCTACAACTGAAACAGCGTCTTCTGCTGAGTCGGGTTTAAGAAACAGGTGAGGAGAGCGCTCTTTAAGTCCCAGTGGTTTGAGTGTGACTCTGTGTTTTTACAGTTACAGTTTTTCTGGTGAAATGGGCTCGTATCCGGTGACGGCGGCTCTCGGCCGAAAGTTCAGACTGGGGATGTTGTACGACGCACGAACAGATCAGCTCCTACAAGGTCAGCTTCATAATACCATCCATTATTTTATAAACTGTACTAAAATGTATTTTTATATTTCAAATATTGTTAGTAGGTCTATAAAGTTAAGTCAATAATATAAATCTTTTTCTTGAAATGAATTTAATTTGCTCTTTGCATTTTCTTTACGTACAAACACAAGTGTGTTGTTCTGAACATAATATTTAAATCATCTTTACAAACCCAGTGTGAGCGTGTTGTGCTTTAGGACACAGACTCAGTGTGAGTTTAGGCATCGAGATCAGCTCAGTCCATGAAATGTGAGTTTCAGTATAAAATATAATTGAACAAGTCCAGAGCGCTGGTATCACAACAAAAGTAAAGTATATTTCTAGTGTCTGTGTTGTAAGTAAGAGTATTTGAGATGTTTTACAAATATATAATTCACATTTAAAGTCAAACTAACTTCACTTCAGTTGTTCTGCTTTAGTAGTGACATTCACGAGTGTAGTTTTGATCTGTTTTTGATAAATACAACTTCTCCAAACATGTTATAGTTGTTTGTCGAGTTCATCACAGGACAGAGCTTCAGTTCAGTTTGAGTTTTCTGGTGGAGCTCTGTCACTCCCGCAGACATCCACTTGTCGGCGCTGTTGAGCTGGTTTGACTCAGACATTCTCCCAATGTCCATTTAACTGGATATTTTCTGACAATCCCAAACCCAAACTCTTTGATATTTAGGAGCTGCTTTAGGAGAAACTGTTTTGTCAAAATGAAAAACAACAATGACACAGTCACTTTTTTTTTCTTTTATCCATATTTGCTGAAATAATGTTTCATTAAATCTAACGTGAGGTTTTTTTTAGGGAGCGCTCTGTGGGATTCTGCAGTGTTAAAGTCCATGACCCGGACAAGTCCTCAGCCCCACAGTCACTTCAGACTCTCCAGCTCAGACTCGGCTGAAGAGAAGGCGTCTCTCCTGGAGATACAGGCCTCTTTAAGAGCCAGTGTTCTGTGTGGTTTTGTGGAAGGAGAAGGTTCGGCCAAGTTTCTCCACGACAAACAGCAGTTTAAAAACCAGAGCAGAGTGATTCTGCAGTACAAAGCCAGCACTCACTTTGAGCAGCTGTCCCTCACAGCAGGAGACTGGGACAACATGAAGGACAGGGACATGGTGCAGAGAGGCCTGGCCACACATGTGGTCACAGGGATAGAGTACGGAGGGAACGTTTTCTTTGTGTTTGACAGTCACGTGGTCCAGGAAAGTGAACTTCAGGAGTTCAAATTAAATGTGAAGGTAGTGATCGACTTAATTTTCTTTTCAGTTCACTTTAATTATGATGAAGACCTCACAGAAGAACAAAAATCTATAGCTGAAAAACTCACAGTGAAATGGTATTCTGACTTCCTTCTTGAGCGTAGTCCTGCTACTTTGGCAGAGGCAGTACAGACCTACAGAGATATGAGCAAACTTCTGGGAGAACATGGAGAGAGCTCAGTCCCAGTGAGAGTGTGGATGGTGCCAGTGACACATCTGAACCCTGCAGCTAATGGGTTAGTCAGTAGACACATCAGTGTAGGTTTAGTGCTGGAGGCTGAGGAGACTCTGGAGGATCTGGACAGTTTTACTATGAGGAGTAATGAATGTTTGTCTGTCAGTGCAGTGGGGAAGTTCCCTGAGCTTCAGCAGCAGGTGCACAGGTTCTCCAAACTGTGTCAGAGTTACAGTGTAGAGCTGCAGAGGCAGATGGCAGAGACATGTCCTGCCATTCGAGAGGGGACAGTGGAAGAGAGCGTCCTCAGAAGTCTCTTTGACCAGAGACTCATGTCCCCGTTCAGCCAGGACAGACTCACCAAGTGGCTGGAGGACAAGGAGAGGGAGGTGAGTGTGGTTCAGTCGTGTTTAGACATAATGGAGGGAGAGTTAGTGTTGTCCACTCAGGCTGAGCTCGATAAGTTTGTGTTGGCTCCAGGAGATGAAGTCCGCTGGGTCTATGTCTTCACCTCTCTGGGGAACGCAGATCCTCAGCTGGAGGAGATGGGTCAGTACCTGAATACTCTGAAGTTGGGGGAGACTTATGAGCCACAATTACAGTCAGTAGAAGTTCCATGGTTCAATAAAGATGATGTGGTGTCCAGAATGCGGCAGAAAGCTGTAAATTTTCACAAAAACAAAGGTCAAGTAACTCAGTGTGTCACAGCGAGAAGCGGCACGTCCCACATCGGTGCTGCTACTTACAAATACAAAAATGGGCTCCTGGTAGAAAATTATGAGTAACTGAGAAACCAAGTGGAGTAACTGTTGTCACAGAGTAAAATGAGCTTCAAATGTCCAGATGATCCTTGTCAAACTCATCACCACTGTCCTGTATTCTCTTTAAGCCAATGATTTTGACCTGATTCTTTTTAAATGTAACAAATGTAATTCAAGTAGGTGTGATTTTCTTAGGTTGTTTTCTTGTGAAAAAATAAAAACTGTTACAATTTGTGAATGATAAAAAAAAGTGTAATTTGATCTAATAAATGGTATGACCCAAGATACCTGTGCCTCTGCTCTTTATTTCCTCTCTTTGACCACTGATTAGTAAGATTGAGGTACTTTCTCATCAGAAGATTTATATTTCCAGGATGGAACCCAGACTCTAATAAACGACATCTGATCTAAAGACATTTTTCACAAAAGTAGTTTTGGGAATAGAATAGAAACCACCAGATACAGAGACTCCAAAGGGGGTGGAGTCACCATCTATTATAAAGTTCATTTGCAGTGTTCAGTCTTAGCATCCAAATCTGTTGCAAAACAATTTGAACTGATTATCATGAAGATTACCCTGTCAAAAAACTTCTCTATGGCTATAGCTGCCTGTTACAGCACCTGCCTGTGCTCTACCTGCAGTTAGTGACCTGACTGCCCCCCATGTCACCTCCCAACTCATTCTGCTAGAGCAGGGGTGTCAAACATACGGCCCGGGGGCCAGATCCGGCCCTCCAAGACCTTTAACCTGGCCCTCGGCTGATTTTCTACTAAAATATTTGAATGATATTTTCTATTAAAATCTTGTTAATTTTCTGTGGTGTTTATCACAGCAGCGTCTCCAGCGTCTCTGTACGTGGCCCCTCCCACCAGAGCAGCACAAATGAAGACTTGTCTCTTTCCAAACGCTCTTAAAGGACGATCGTTTTTGACTGTTGACCGTGACACCCTCATCAGAAAAATGTCCAACATGAGAAAAGTGGAGCCGAGTGCAGGATTTTACAACAAAAATTGACTTCTATTTCTATTTCTAATTTCTATTTGCCTACAAGTTCATGTTAAAACATTGTGTTGAAATTGCATTTTTCTTAAAGTTTCAGGTTGTTCATATGTTACTTTTTTTTTTTTTTTTGAACTTTAGTTTATTAACATAAACATTTAGAACAATCCTTGACAGAGGGTTATTATGTTAGTTATTATTCAGGTACACAGTCACCGGAGTCCATCGTTCTAAGAATACATCCATTTTCATCTGAAGTTTGGCTGTTAGTTGTTCCATGATATAGACTTGTTTCAGTCTCTGTATCCATTCTGTCCTTGTTGGAGGGGAGGGTTTCCTCCAGTTAACAGTTATAATTTTTCGTGCAATCATCAGAAGAATACGGAGAACATATTTTTGATCGTTTACACATACATTATCTGACAGTGCTCCTAGTACATAAATCAGCGGATCCATAGAGAGTTCACAAGACAGTATCTTTTCTATTTCTATTTTAATGTCCTGCCAATAATTACCAAGAACTGGGCAATCCCAGAAGACATGTGAGTGATCCGCCACCATGCCACAGTTTCTCCAACATAATGGAGACATGGTTTTGTAGAAACTTGAAATGATTAAAGGGGTTCTAAAGTATCTAATTTTTGTCTTCCAATCAAATTCCTTCCACAGATTACTGTTGACACCTTTGTGGCTGACCACACACATATCCCCCCACGTCCCATCCTCAATAACTACATTTAACTCCAATTCCCATTTATCTCTGATATCCAGTGTGTGTTCCCCCATATCTCTCATCAACATCTTGTATATTAATGATACATGTTTCTTGGTCGGCAGATGTTTTTCTTGTACTGTTATAAAGTATTGTTCGATACCTGTAGGTTCTGCTTTAATTTTTTCCCATTCAGCATGACTTTGAATGTAGTGCCTTATTTGTAAATAACGAAAATGATCTGTTGAGGGTAATGAAAACTGTTTTTGTATTTGAGAAAAGGATTTTAGGTTACTGCCCTCAAAAAGCTGGTTAACCGTCCTTAGGCCACTACTCATCCACCTTTTGAACCCACTGTCCCACATAGATGGTTGGAAGTCTATATTCCCAGCTATCGGCGTGGCTCTTGTAAGACAAGTTGTACCACCAAGTTTTTTTCTCACACAGTTCCATATACGTAAAGTGTGCTTAATCCACACATTTTTAAGCTTAAGTTTTTTCCAGAGTGTTCCACTTTGAAATGGCAACACAGATAAGCCAACTCCTGGTTTTGAATTTTGTTCTATTTGGACCCATCCCGCCTCCCGGTCATTATAAATCCACTGTGTTATGGCAGCCAGTTGAGCAGCCCAGTAGTAGTATCTAAAATTTGGGAGAGAGACTCCACCCCTGTCCCTCGGAGAACACAGCAGTTTTAGCCTGATTCTCGGCCTTTTATTTTGCCATATAAATTTAGAAAACATTTTGTCTAACTGAGTAAATGTAGACTTGGGAACCCACACAGGTAAGGACTGAAATAGATATAGAAGCCTTGGCAAAACATTCATTTTGATTGTTTCAATTCTACCAAACAGAGACAGCGGCAGCACCTCCCACCTTAGTAAGTCTGCCTTAATTTGGGTAATCAATTTATTGTAATTTGATTTGAACAACTGAAGTGGGTTGGGTGGAAGTGTGATCCCCAAATATTTAAAACCTTGATCATTACGCTTAAAAGATGCAAGTTGTGTTGGCCATTTTCCTGATAACATCATGGCTTCTGACTTACTCTCATTTATTCTAAATCCAGAGATAGAGCCATAATCATCTAGGCATTTCAGCAATGCAGGGATGGACACTAATGGGTCCTCCAAATATAACAGCACATCGTCTGCGAATAAAGCAATTTTGTGCTGAGTTCCGCTTTCATCTCTTATACCATGAATGTGGGGGTTCTGTCTCACTGCCTCTGCAAATGGTTCAATACTCAGGGCAAACAAGACAGGACTCAGCCCATCTCCCTGCCTCGTTCCTCTACCCAGATTGAAAAATTCGGAACAATATCCATTTACTCGTACTCTTGATTTTGGATTTTTATAAAACAGCATGACCCAATCAACAAATTTGACCCCAAATCCCATATTTTGCAATACGTGTTTCAGGTATAGCCAGTCTACTCGATCAAATGCCTTCTCGGCATCTAAACTGAGAAGCATTGATGTTTGTTTTCTTGAGGTGGCAAGTGATTGTAGGTTTAGAGTCCTGCGTATGTTGTCTGAGCCATAACGACCATTGATAAAACCAGTCTGATCTGGCCCTACCAATCTTCTAATATATTTTTGTATTCTTTTGGCCAGGATACTAGTTAAGATTTTTAAATCAACACATAAAAGACTTATTGGTCTGTATCCTGTACATAATGTGGGGTCTTTACCTTCTTTCTTTATCACAGTTATTAAAGCTTCTGACCAGGAGGCGGGTGGGTCCTTACTGTCCAGGGCATAGTTATATAGTCTTGTAAGCATTGGTGAGAGTTCATTAATAAATGATTTATAATATTCACAGGAGAACCCATCCACTCCTGGTGATTTGTTATTTTTCAGTTTAAGAACAGTTTCTCTAACTTCTTTCTCTGTGATGGGCCTTTCTAAATCTACTGCTTCAGCATCAGATAGTTTGGTCATATTAAGTGGTTCCAAGAATTGTTTTATCTTTTCTGTTTTATCGGTTTGGTCCTCAGTTTCATATAAAGAAGTATAGTAAGCTGCAAAGGCCTCTGAAATATCCTTTGGTTGTGTTACTAGACTACTAGTTGCCGGGTGTTTAATTTTGGTTACAATTCGACTTGACTGAGCCTTCTTTAGCTGAAAAGCAAGTAATCTACTCGCTCTGTTACCCATTTCATAGTATTTCCTGTTTATAAATCTAAGTGCCCCCTCTGCTTTGTAAGTCAATAGGTCATCTAATTTTTGCTTTGTTTCTTGTATTAATGCAAGGGTTTTTTTATCTTGTGTCTTTTTATGCTCTTTTTGTAGTATCTTAATTTCTATCTCTAATTTTTGTTGCTCATATAGTCTTTGTTTCTTAATTCTTGATGCTATGGCTATTATCCTCCCTCGCATTACCGCTTTGGCCCCCTGCCATAAAAATGGAAGGGGTAATATTTTCTTTGTCATTCAGGTTGAAATATTCTTCCAAATCAGATTTTAGCTCCTGGTACACGCTTGGATCAGTTAATAGCGAAACATTAAGTCTCCAATATTTAAATCTTTCATTTGAACCTAAAGAAATACGTAGTGTGACTGGTGCATGATCTGAAATTGTGATGGGTTCAATATTACATTCCAAAGCTCTATATGATTCTCTTTTAGATATAGCAAAGAAATCTATTCTTGAGTATGTACCGTGAGCATGGGACAAGAATGTGAAGTCCCTTCCTCTTGGATGGAGGAAGCGCCATATGTCCACCAGGCCTAATTCTTCTAGCATACCCTGCAATGCCATAGTCTTTTTTAAGTCTGGGTCCAACATCACTTGGTAGTTTATCTTGTTTTCTATTCAATATACAATTGAAGTCCCCACCGACAATTATTAGTCCTCTGCCTTTTTCAGCAAGGATAGATGCGATTTTCACAAAGAATTGGGGGCAGTCTTCATTGGGGGCATATACGTTTAGTATAGTAACTTGTATATTATCAATTTTGCCCACTACCATAACAAATCTGCCTTCATCATCTTGAATAAGCTCTTCATTTTGAAAATACTCTGATCTATGAAAAAGAATTGCTACACCTCTTTTTTTCCCATTTTTACACGAGGCACTATAAACCTGGTCTACCCACTCTCTTCTTAATTTTAGGTGTTCCTTGTCTGATAAGTGGGTTTCCTGAATTAATGCTACAGAGCAACCCAAATTTTTAAGTTGACCATAAAGTTTCTTGCGCTTGATGGGGTTATTTATACCTTTTATATTATAGCTGATCAAGTTAAGTACAACCATGTTTGTTCAGAATGTAGTTTGTGTTCAACGTGGTAATCATTTTCTTGGTGGCAATCCAGTAAGTTATCTGACTGGTAAGTAAACCCAGAACATTTGTCAAGGAAAAAAGAACATAACACAATAAGGGCAGAACAAATGTCATAACTAGAACTTCCATATATCCAGCTGACCCTAATTGGACCAGCTCCTGTTTACAACTAGGCAGAGATATGTGACGAATTATCTCTGGGATGAACATAAGGCAATATGCCAGTGCAGTCTTCTTTATAAGACCGCTCATTGAGTGTTATGCACTCAAATTTACCCA